GTTTTTTGTTTTGTTGTGTGTGTGTGGGGGGGGGGGGTAATGAAAGTGTTCCAAAACGTGACATGAATTTCTTGACGACTTAATATTTATTGCAGCCTTTGGGACAACTAAAGCCATTGAACACTTGTTTCACCAACAATGAAGGGTATGTTTGGATCAATAATATCTACAGTTAACACTGTGTTGTTCTACATTTTCATTGCTTGATATCTGACCAACTAGCGCTGCAGTATTTACAATTGCTGCATCAAATAATATGTTTGACGACATATTGTCTATTTTCCTTAGTATGCCATTCCACATCCACCATCATTCATATCAGTAGTAAACAAATTAGCCTACTCGAACGTGGACCTGTCTTAGTGTCATGTACTATCATAACACAGTGTCTTTCGAAGGCTTACAACTAAAAGTAATATAGTAGCGTAGTGCACTCGTTGGCGGGTTCTTTTAAATCATCTGGTGAAATAATTCAATGTCCAGTCCATGTAACAATAATAAATTACTTCTTCCTTTAACATTTCTACAAACGTAAACCCTTGCACACTGCCAAAAATTGCTGTAGGCCCACACTTTAAATGATTTAAATAAAGTAAAAAAATCAACTTATTTGCAAAAATTTCCACGATAATTAAGACACTGACTGGTTCACTCTCTATTTTGATATCACTTTTATACATTTCATAACTATCTCGTATTTATAATCAAGCTTCGAATATACTAGAAGAACTTGACGTCACATCCTTAGAACTTTCTAAGCGTTCTATGCCCTCTAGCTAAAAAAGCAAATTACTGCATTAAAATATAGCTTACGAAAACAACACAGGCTAGGCTTAATAAAACACACCTGACAGTAAGTATAATTAGTATAATAACACTATTTTCGTAACTCTTCTGGCTATCTTGTTTTCAAATGTCCTTTTTTGTGTAAGTTTTCATTCGTGTGTGCTGTCAGTCTAAGAACTAACAGTCTAAATGTAGTGTGAATACTTGGAAAGTTTCCCCATTGGAGATTTTCCTGAGATTTCTGACTATTCATCAGTCTCCAAGACCTCAGGGGTTGATCTTTTGTTTTCTTCTCATACGTTCAAATGTTGCAGATAAATAACTTAATGCTTTAGTGAGTTTGGTGTTACCAGTTTTGTTTGTTACAAGATCTTTCTTCATTTGGTTATATGTGGGAAGATTTGTTGTTGATTGAAAATATAAAGCACGCAATTTTTCTATGTTTGAAACCTCCTATTTAGAAGAAAAATATCAATAGTTAAAGAAAATAATCTTGAATACAAAGTGCTGAAAAGATTAAATTGGAAAATATCGTGCAAAGTTTTTGAGCAATATATATTAACATTTATACACAGTCACATGCTAACAAGTATGTGTGCAAATTGGATAAATCTTTATAGGGCCTTAACTATTTTGCATATATAGAGCGAGTTGTTTCGTTATAAATGTCAAGGGCTGGGCATGCCTTGAGGGTTAATGTACTGGGCTGTGGATCCGAGGATACATGGCTCGCGTCCTGTTGCCGTAAAATCTCACTTCGGGCTTTAGGGCTATATGTGCTTCACAAGAGTGACATTTAAGTTCCACTATTTGATTAGAGTAGGCCACGAGTTGGCGGTGATTGCTGCTGATTAAATGCCTCCCCTCTATCTTGTGTGGCTTTGCCCGAATATCCGAACCAAACCAAATAAATGCCAGTTTTCAAAAGTTAGATTCTATGCCTGCGTTTGTAATTTATTTTATTTTTTATTTACCTGACGTATAGAGTGAAGCTCAATGTCATAGACTATATGACGTTTTTCGATTACATTACGGTATATTATCTGGTGTATACACACGCCTGAACTTGATATCTTTAACAGGACTATCACTCAGGTTTAGCTTTATCATTAAATAAGTTTGTCGTTTTTATTGTCATTCTAAGCTTACGACAAATTTGTTACTTGAAAGTACTAGATGATGTTCAGGTTCTAAACTTTAAATATATTTTGCCTAAGGCTTGATTCTAATTTCTTTTAACTGGACAATGAAAGGATCAGAATGATATTAAATATCACTGCGTTTGTCTCAAAGTAATGATGCGAAAACCTCAAATTTGAAACAAAGTGATATGACTGAAGCAAATAAATATACATATAAAAACATCAGTCTAACAGCTTCTTAATATTAGGTTCAAATCCAGCAATTCTTAAATTCCAATAATTGATTTTCACGAATTTTCATATTTATCAACTTTCAGAACTAGAGAGCTCTTATAATACAAAATGAACTAAAATCCAATTACTGCGAAATATGTGTGTGTGCTATCCATTTGTGTTTTCTTAATACATTTACTCTCTGCATATTAACTAGAGTTTTATGATCGGAATCATATTTCAATATTTTTATAAACTGGAACAAGAAAATTCAAGAGCGTGTTACTCTACATTTCTCAAGCCTATACTTTTTATTTGTATATACAACAGGATTTTAATGTATTGTCTAGCCAGTTCCTAAACTCCACATCTTCGTGGCCGAACACTATTGAAAGGTGAGTTCTTTATGCAGTAAAGTGTGGTTTTTGAGGTTAACAGATTAGGCTCTTTATCGAAATATTTTTTTGGGTTCAAGGTTGAGTACAGGAAACTTTGACGTTCCTCTGTAGCCCACTCAATACCTCAAATTCGGTTTCATTGACTCGCAGATTGGGTGTTTAGCAAACGTTTCCATAACGTAGACTATCGGGTGTTATTGAAATTGCTGACCTTCCCATACCATGAATTCTTTACAAAAAAAATAATTACTCTTAAAAGTATTTGTTCTGAAGTTTGACAAATTTTTTTAATAGATAAAATTTTTCACATATTACATAAGTTATACATTACTCTTTTATTTGTTTTATTTGTTTAAACATTAGTATGAGTAAAACCTCGTATTAATTGAACATTATACAACTTGTTCTCAACAATATTTGTTATACATTTAAAGCCAAAGGATCTGGGCCAGGTATTTTTATCTACGGATGTATTTCAGATTTAAATATAAACAAAATGAAATATTTAAAAACTGAAATAAGAAAATTTCAAAACGTTTTACTCTAAATTTCTTGCATCTATATATTTTTTATGTATACACAACAGGAAATGTTTAAAATATTCATGTGAATGATTTTAATAAATTGTCTTGTCAGCAAATCAAGCTATGCATAAAGACGAAAAGTGGAATTAACTAGAAAAATTTGTACTAGCTCATATAGCTTCACTTTTTTTTGTTCCTTTCTTCAATGCTTTGCTTGGTATAGAGTTTCTTAAGAGTTGTGAATTTTCTGTTCTGAC